TCCCCTAGAATGGATTAACATCAACATGATACAATGTATAATAATACAGGAAAGCAATAGGTATAGGAATGTAATAGTAACATTACAGATGACAGATCTGTTAATGCCAAACCTGTTATATTAACTTTAATCCATATGGTTGTTGACATGATGACACATGGTGAATGAGTAGCAGCGGCATGAAAGCACTCAATTATCAGAATAGTCCTGAGTGAGCTGTAGGTCTTCATGTTATAGAGCCTTTAGAACTGAGGGTCTTCCAGCATGCAGGTCCATGCTCTGATACTGATACTGTCTGCCAGATGGCAGCAGGGTAAACAGTTTGTGCACTGGGGTGGCAAGAGACCAAGATTATCATACGGCCGTCCACACAGACATCGTGTGTGGTAAGTGTTCTGAATGGCAGGAAGCTCACCACTAGTGGTCTGCTCCACTGTTCTTACTGATCTCTGGAGAGCCTTGTGGTTGTGAAAACTGCAGACCCTCTCGCCAGGGATGTGGTCTTTTCCAGCAGCTTCCTGTGGTCCACTATCTTTTTTTTATGTATTGCTGATGTTTTGAAATCAAGAAAAATTCATGCTTTACACATCTGCTTGTCCACGAGGGTCGCCACATGCACGAGTGTCCGCATGGACGTCAATATGCAGCCTGCGAAAAGTGAGCCTCTGGACTTCATGCTGGTATTCTAACTTTTTAATGTTATCGATGAGGCCTCTGATGGTTGTGGAGTCCATACATTTTCTTTATAAGCATTAGCAGTGTTTTTTGATGTATTTGTACGTAAACAGTAGAGGGCTGAGGATGCAGCCCTGGCGGACAATAGTGCTTAGGGAGGGGTGGGGTTGACAATTCTCCCCACCCAGGGCATTTCCCTCAGGAGATCAAGGACCAAGCTGCAGAGTGAGGTGTCAAGTCCCAACGCCATGTGACCATAACTTCAGGCAGTGGGTCGCACTCCACTAGATTAAAACGGACTTTCACTGTATGCATGTTTAATGCATGTTTAAGTTGTTTTGTTTAGGGACAATCTGTGTACATTTATTTTGGTAGAGTACTTAATGCACTTTGTGATAAAAAATCAACGACAGAGTAACTGTTACATACCAATGTTGCCATCAGAGGAGTCCGTCTGTAGTCTGAAACAGTCATGGGGAGTGACAACTGTGTGGTCACTCAACACTGGACAGTTACTGAGAACAGGTTTGTCCTGTTTCAGTCTTTTCTTGTCTGTTGGAGCTGGAGAATGGAGATATGATCTGCTTTCCCAAAGGCAGGGCGGGGGGAAGTTTATACAGCAGCGCTCCAATGTGCATTAACTTCTGGTAGGTATGTTAACATGCTTGTAATATTTTAAGATGAAACGTTTTCATGTTGGCGCTGTAGAAACTGGACGCTGCCTCTGCATGGGCATTCTCCAAAGCAATGATAATATCATTCAGTTCATCCATGGCATCAGCTTTTTCCGCTTGTTGTGGAATGTAAACTATAGTTAGAGTAATTGAGCTGACCTCTCAGGGGAGGGAGAAGAGTCTTACATCTCAAGTTATGAACTACATAAGTGAACCTTGTGTAAGCTTGTGTGGTGGGCATATACGTAGCTTCATTAAAGCCTCCTCTTACAGAGTTGTGTCACAGTGGAAAACACATAATCAGGTTCTTAATTAGTTTGAAGAGTTCATGGTTATCTAGGGAATACGCATTAGCTAGAGGGATACTTGGAAGTGGGGTTTAAATGACCTATTCTTTGTTTTGCAAAGAACTAACACATGGGAATTTATGGTTGTTACTAGTTGGTAGTCGGTTGTGACATTTTGTTTAGTGTCGGTTAAATTTAAGCTTGGCAAGTAACAGATTACATAGACTTTTGTACACAAAGTGTTCCTAGGATATCATCCGATTACCAATACATTAAGTGAAAAAGGTGATTGTTAGAAGGACTACAATTTCTATATACATTTAAAAATAAAGAATTATATGCTGCACATGTGAACATATTACAACATTTCAAAACAAGAGTTACACACAGTTGGCTCTAATGTTAGCTTTTACTGGTTGGAAATATCCAACATTTCTTAATGTGAGGCAGAAAACTGAACAACATCAAAGTACAATGCAAGTTCTGAAAAGCAGGATGGTTTGCATACTTTCCAATTCATCAAGATTATTTTCTTTGCAGAGAGGCATCCCGGGACGAAAAGATAGTTCGTAGGATATGAGCCAACTGCTTTAAATTTCTGGTCCAGTCCAACTAAATAAAGGACACATTTGTAGGCAGGTTAATTTAATTTAATTTAATTTGTATGGGTACTGCTGATGCAGTTAAAGTCTGCAAACACTAATGTGATAAATTATTCAAATCCTTGATAATGACAGCATTTTCACAGCTGGAAGTCAGAACTTGCTCTGAGTTACATGCAACATAATAGCAACATTTTAACATTTTTTCTTGTCTTGCCTTATTTGCATATTTGGTGTTGAGTTCATTTAAAAGTAAAAGAGGGATCAAGTTACCTGTATTTAATAGTGGGTTGCTTGGATTAAGTTACCATCAGTAACTGTTTGGAATCTTTTTTAAAGTAACCATCAAAACCCTGCATGGATAAAATATATAAGAGCATAAAGTTTCTTCAGAGCCTTCAGTTGAGGATGCATAGGAAGCAGAGTATCAAAGGGTCATGTAAACTTAAGGTGAAATTAGACTGTTATTAACTATGGCAACAAACTGAAGCTACATATGACCTCTCATAGACTCGCTTTAACTCAGTCATTTTCTTGACTAAACACAATAGTCTCTACTTCCCCTTCCCCCCCCCCCCCCCCCCCCCCCCCCCCCCACACACACACACACACACACACACACACACACACACACACACACACACACACACACACACACACACACACACACACACACACACACACACACACACACACACACACAGACTCACACACGCACACACACACACACACAGCTGTCTTTGAGGTGATGTGCTAATTGATGCAAAGTAATGGAGGAGGTGAAGCCACAATGTCTGCCCCGCTAAGCTTTACACAGAGCTTTTTTTACTTGCATGGCTTGTATTCAGTAATCTTAAAGTTTCTGGGAGTGTGTTTTGGATTGAGAATTAATACAGAACATTGAATAAAGACAGCTGAGAAGCAGAGGAAGAAGAACAAAAAGAATAGGAGCAACGGGAGGAAAAAAGAAACATGAAGAAGGAAGAGGATTAGGAAGAGGGGGGGGCCTCCTGCGGTTTCGAGGTCAAACACACAGCTGTGGTCATCACCTTACACTGCAGGGGACTCACACACACACGCCCACACACACACACCCACACACACACACACACACGCACGCACGCACGCACGCACGCACGCACGCACGCACGCACACACGCACGCACGCACGCACACACACACACACACACACACACACACACACACACACACACACACACACACACGCACACACCACTGTGATCATCACCCTCTGTGGGAGTTTGACCTAGGCCAGATGGTCACCGCTCTCTTTTTATGACTCTTTTTTCTGTCACGTCCACACTAAGCCAGTGTTTTTCACACCTAAAAAACTGAGCTTTTCGAATACGCTCTCCAGAGTGGGGTACGTTTCAAAACACCAGTCTAGCATTGTAGCGTGAACGAGGGAAACAATGCCAAATCAATTATGTATCAATAACATGCTTTCACAGGGAGTTGTATACTGAGAAGACACATTTCTCTCGCAAGCTCTCTGTGATGGCACATTTTAAATGCCAATGGAGATCACAAACAACTACACAAACTAAAACAAAAAAATTGTCTGTGGTGGGACATTACAAAAAGAAAAAAGATAAGTCTAAAACCACTTCGACATGAAATAACTTTTTATGGTTCAGTTTGATCTTTTAACAGCCTTTTCAAAACATTTTTCAAAAGACTATTCTACAATTATTTAAAAAATGAATGTTAAAACTTTTAGTCCAGATCCTCAGTTCATCAGGCCAGGTTGAGGCTTGTTTATCAGGATGATCCAGAGGTGGTTGATGTTGTCTCCCTTATCCCCTGTCCAGACAAACAGCGCTATGCACTCTTTATCTTGCTTTTGATCCAAATTCCAAAACTCTGCAGTGCGCCATTTGTCTTAATCCTTAACTTTAGCCTGTTATGTGCAAACCCTTGCATTATTTTAATGAAGGTAGTAATGTGATACAAAAAAACTAAACAGAACCCATATACAACTTATTCCAGTTGATGATGTGTTTATACATCCAAAATACATGAATACTTTATTTTACCTTTAGAGTTATCTTCCGATACTGCCCCTATCTAACCTGACTAAGTTTTAGTTGTGTGCATTCTCACAACTTGCATCCTATGCAGGACATACTGGTGGTTCAATGTCCATAATGGATACATCTTGGTATTATGGAAACATTTTAAAATCAATTAAGTCAATTAACTTAGTTTAAGTTGTCTTGATGTTGTTTTCCAAGAAGGTGAAACTTCCTCTATCCAAGAAAGAATACTTGTTTGTGTGTGTGTCTATGTGTGTGTGAGAGAAGATCATGCCAAATTACTCTGTGCCTAAAATGTTTTTATCAGGCTCCAGACATGTGTTTCCAATGTTCTTCAAATACGCTGCCTACACACACGCACAGTACTTTCATTGCCAGATAGTTAAAATGAAACCCCTCCCTTGTTGTCTGAGACCAAGTTAATTTTTTTCTTCTTTTGGCATCAGACTACAAACTGATAAAGACAGAAGTGCAGAGCTCACTGTAGGCGTGTATCTGTACGTGGGAACATTAAATTGGATCTTACACGTGCTGCTATAAGATAAGTCATTTAAGAAATCACATGATCTCAGAACTCTTAATCAAGGCAGGATGTTTAGACATTAATATGATTTTTTGTAAAGACAAAAAAAAACAAATATCAATAGCAAGTGGAGTAGTGACATATTGAGTGTGTGTGTGTGTGTGTGTGTGTGTGTGTGTGTGTGTGTGTGTGTGCCATACAGGGTTACAGCCAGGCCGCGGAGACACAGCAAGTCTGAGAAAGTGGTTTGATTGACCACGATGTCGTGAGTAGCAGCGGAGTAGGTAACAAACACACACAAACACACACACACACAAACACTTTTGAATCCAGGCTGTGTTGTTTCCAGCAGCAGTAGACGTTTATGAGGATTTGGACGGGGGAATACAGGCTGTTCAGGTCACGACATGGGTTTACTGTGAATGTGTGTGTGTATGTTTGTGCTTGCATGCATAGAGGGTAAAAAGGGGTACAGGAAGATTGTGAGATCAGTTTTTTTGTTTGGAGAATATTGGCCCCCCTTGCTCAGACCAAGCTCATCTTCGTACTCAAGCTTAATTTTAATCTTAACTACTCGTGCTGACAGACGTAGTCTTATTGTCCCAAAGAAATACATTTGAAATCACAATCGAGTCAGCTGAGGTGGTGAGTTCAAGTTATGGTGAGATTTTTAACAGGGAGTGGTGAATTTACTGTAATCCAATATGATGCTGATGGTTTGAAAATAGAACTTGAACAACAGTGACGTGTCTCTTAGGAGGATAGAGCTGAAGTTCTCAACACTGGGATGCCTGTGTGGTGAACACTTAATATTAGATTAGGAAGAAAAAGAAGCACATGCCACATTTAGGACCCCAGAAGCTACTGCCAGCAGCTCTATTCTTTTATGTCTTGGATTCAGCTCCAAAAAGAAAAAATATTACACCACTCTTTCTCTGGATTTCCTGCCCTTTTTCCTTTTTTAGTATAGTTTTTTCATTTCCCCCCCCTTGTTTTACAACAGGCAGTTAAAGTCAGAGCCAAAACCTGCTGGACACTTTTAAATAGAAAGCACTTAAACTGCAAACAAGAGCTGATCACGAACATGGGTGACAGGGAGGGAAAAGAAATGAAAGGGGAAAAAAGAATCTAGCATTATAATATATATATATACATTTATATACATTTATTGACCCATTTTGTTAATGTACATTAATAATAACAAGGAAAGGGGTAGTAAATTGTAGAAATGACGCATAAAAACTGTTTATCTTCGGAGTAAAAAAAAAGAGTTGTGGATGCCCAAAGGGTAAGGAACCACAAGGTGATGTAATGGGATTGAGGACTGTGTTGGGACATTTGTGAGAATCTGATACTCAAATGGGCCTCTTGCAACAGAGATCAGCAACACATATTTGAGGTTAATACTTTTTGCAATTGGTAATATATCAAAGTCTTTCTTAGTCAAACATAACCGTGGCCACTTTTTTTATTTCTTTTTTGCATCGGCGGTGTGTGAGTCAGGAGCAATAAAATAACACTAAATGTTGAGGAGCAAATGAGCAGATGTTGCATTTAGCTTTAGGTATTTCTTCAGAGGCTGACTCACTGAACCTCCAGACACCAGATCCATGGAAAAACTGCGTAGAGCTTCTCTGTCATGGACTGCACACCCTTTATACACAATAGGGATGATTCAAATATAAACAGAGAATACTGCTAGAGGGACAACTGGACATTATCACAAAATGTATTGCTGTAAAACATGATCCTGTGTCGTCTTATGTTGTATCCAAGGACTCAAAGGGTTATTCTGTGTCTATTTTTCCAACATTTCTAAGTTTAAAGGTTTCAGTGGTTTATGAATGCTGGTACTGCTGCTCAACATCTGGGCGGCAATCGGAACCATAAAAGGGAAGGTGTGGTGTAGCCATTTCTGCTTGTGCAGCTCAGAGGAGGGAGACCTCTGCTGTTTCAACACACAGCTGAGGAACCCATCGTATCCTGTGCTAACACACATTCACTCATACACAATACTTAAAATGTAGCAGCCATTATGGAAGTAGGATGATACAAAAAACACATAGTGCTGGAAGAAGTTGTAAGAACTTTTTCTCAAGGAAAAGTATTAATTAACTACAGTAGAAACATCTCTTGAGAATAAGTCCTTAATAATATACTTAAGGTAGCAAAAGTAAAGGTACTTATTATGTTGACTGACTTCGAAATAATGTACATGATAGGACATTATTGGATTATAATTAATAATGCACAAATGTTTTCACCACTTGTGTCTAATGTTGAAGATAGCAAAGGTGGAACTAACAATATGATGATTTATTTGTTAATTATATTTTGAAAAATGAATTTGGGAAGTCCATCAAATACCTTTAGTGGACAATATTAGTAAGTAAATACGCTGTGCTGCAATCCATCACTGCAATTACAGTTATTGCTTACATTGATAATTAAACATATTTAATGTAGGGTTAAGTATAGACTTTCACATATTTGAGAATGGATTGAGGAAGAAAACCTTGAGCGCTGCGCTACACATTATTATTATTATTATTATTATATTCTTGTTTAAACAGTACATTTATGGGCTATAGCAGGAAAAAACAGCCAACAATAACCTGCATTAACTTTGAAACTAGGCATATGGTGGAAATATACTGCTATTTTATTAGCAGATGCGGTCCGGATTGGCCTAAGCAAAGAAGGTTAGAATTCTGTATCTGAAAAGGTCATGCTGGCAGCCAGACCCCAGCACTGGAAATAACAGAGTGGCCCCTCCTCATTTCTCTAACCCCTCTTTTCAGACACACTGCAGCAGCCACAGGTGTGGCACGGCTGCGATGTTTGTCCCTGCCCGGCTGCCGTCAGAGAGGTGGATCCCAACACACAACTGTCAGATACAACTTCTGCTTTCACTGCGCTGCACTGATTTGAATATGAAGTAACTCATGTCATAGCTCGGTGTTTCTGCCGTGACAGCTGCACACAGCTACCCGGCTTAACAGAGCTGCAGTCTCACAAAGTCTCAGCGACGACGACTTCAAACCGAGAGTTGGTAAGTTTAGTTAGCTTCTTTAGCAGCGGTAGCATTAAGCTAACCAACTTCAGTCTTTTAGCCTAACCCTAACTTATAACACACAACATTGCTGTTTTATCTAAGGGGAGAGTTAATATCGCTATATACTAAACTGTTGACACATGCAAAGCTGGCAAGATAGCAACAATGGTCTCTATTTTCACTCGGTGACAGAACATGTCTGCTGTTTTTAAGCTAATCTCTGTGTAATTTACTAACAGGCTTTAACGTTAGACATACCACAGACTGGACAACAATGACCCAGCTCTCACATAGTTTCACCGAGTATTGAGCTGTGGGGACTTGTCAACAGAATCCAGTAAAGATAAAAGAAACCACTCCTCGTCCTCCCAGTGACTGACATAACAATCACTAACCTCCCTTCCTGAAGTTAAATTCTTAGTTTGTCAATATAATCGTAATTTAAGGTTTCTCAAACTGCTGAGGACTGTGAGTGTATTCATAATAAGGTCTCTAAATGTTCACGGTGAAGGCACATTTCAGTTTTTATTCTTGTCAATCAATATATCTTTTTTTATCAACAGGTGTACTACAAATAACAAGAGCTTGAAACCAGACAGGAAAACGTTAATAAACTTCGGAAAAATGTTATTAAAGATGCCTTCACTGTCCTCTGGAATGGATAGTCTGAAGTAATGGAAAACAGAGAGGAGAGGTAAACACACACACACATACACATACACATACACATACACATACACATACACATACACATACATACACACACCCTGTCCTGATTATATATCCTTAGCAACCTCAACTGGAAAAATGTTAAATATCAAAACAAGATGCCAAATCTTGTTTCCCTTGTGTGTGAATAGACCTGTGATTGGACCACTGATCTCTGCATGTCATGGCCTGCTGGTGCTGAATTAACAAGTTTAGGGATGAATGCTTTGGAATGTAATCCAACTTTGAGAGAACTCATGTTAATGTCGGTGAATCACATTACATAAAACAATTAGAAATCACAGGTGGTTTCATAACTTGGATGGTGGTTCAAATTTGGTACTTGTGTTCACATGTGTTTAGGCTGAATCATGATCGGGTTATCTCTATTTGCGGCGGCTTTCAGCCTTATTTTTGATGATGCATTTGCATGTACGTAATATTGCAGCCCTGCAGACGAACAGGCCCCTACTCCTCCAGAGCGAGGCCTGCTCCACACATGGCAGTCAGCGGGCCCCCCCGCGCAGCTCTGTCCGGGGAGAGTGCTGCTGGCCAGGCCCGTCCTGCAGGTGGCCCTTGGAGAACACCATGGACTCTTGCTCACACAGGGTGGGTGTGTCAATATAACATGGTATTGTAATGAGGAGAAATACATTTGTATTGAAAAGCGAGAGTTTTTTTTATATACATTATATCTGTAGGCGGGGATTGCTTTAAAGTTGCTGCTGGTTATTATTATATTGAAGACCTTTAAAGTCAATACATCTATTTCTACTGTTGCTGTCTTCCAGGTGGACAGGTGTACTCTTTTGGAGAGTTGTCATGGAGGGATCTGAGCGTCCCGGTGTCTGCTCCCCTGCTGGAGGCCTCTCTGATGGGGAGGGTGGTGGTCCGTGTGGCTGCCGGTGGTTTTCACTGTGGAGCACTGAGCGAGCAGGGCAACGTCTACATGTGGGGGGAGAACACTGCAGGACAGTGTGGGCTGACTGAGAGGGACACAGTCACAAACATCACAGGTTGGTCGACGTTCTTCCTTTCTTCTTTTCTTCCCACAAGGTTTTCTGTCCATCATACCTCTGCTTGGAAAGTGCTCTATACATTTTTTCTTTTCATCCATTACAACATTTTGGGGAAAACTTATGTGGAACATTCTGTGTAAGTTTCAGAGCCCTGCCCGGTCACAGTGGTGGACAGCGAGGCCGTTCCTCCAGCAGGGGTTCGGGTTGTGGATCTGGCTCTTGGACGGGAGCACAGCCTGGCTCTGTCGGCCCAGAACGAGCTGTGGGCCTGGGGCAGCGGCTGCCAGCTTGGACTGGTCACCAGTACCTTTCCTGTGTGGAGACCTAAGAAGGTAATTTGTATAAAGCTCAATGAATTTCAGAATTCAAAATTCCACCACTGGTAGATCAATAGTGCTTTTGAATGTTTGTGCAGGTGAGCAACTGACAAAACTGTGTTTATTTTATTAATCCCTTTAAACACTGGAACAGGTGGAGCATCTGGCAGGCAGACATGTTATTCAGGTAGTTTCTCTTCCTGAAATGTTCATTGCCAGATTTAACTTACAATAAAATACTCTATTCTGTGTCCGGGAATATCCTCTCTATTTATTTTTCAACAGGTGGCTTGTGGTGCCTACCACAGCCTGGCCGTGGTTCGCAGTTTACCTCCACAGAAGACCCAGAATCCTTCTGAGAAGAGGGAGCGGGGTCAGTCACCTCATTATTCAGTGACTGAAAGGGAAGAGCAGTTTGCAGTGGATGCCGGTCACTACTGTCCGCTGGGGGTGGAGCTGAGTGAATTCATGACAGGCGAGGTAACTATACACCATAAAGAAGAAACAGAAGAAAAATATGTGTTTCTGGACAGCCTTCATATTTAGTTTTTTGCTAATTTATAAAGTTTAGATTTGTCAGCCTTCGTTGATGCCCCTCTATGGTTTGCATCCCCAGAGCTCTCCCAGAAGAAGAGGCCCCAGACGAAGGCTGCATCCTGGGGGAAGGTCAGCTGGCAGCAGTCCTGGCTCTGCAACCGGTTCATGTCCATATTCTGAAGATGGCAAATCTTACACTAAACAGTACGGTATTGTTTGTTGTTTTATCCCTCATATAGTCGTTTTGTTTTCCAAATGTTCTCTTTGTAACCTCTTTCCTCCATTGCAAAACGTCAGGACTAATCTTGCATTTGGGCACCCTCTCAGTGAGACTGACAGCAGCCCAAAGTCTCACCGGCCCTTAGGCTGGAGAGCCAATAAGAACTCTGCGTTCTCTGATGAAACGGAGATTAATAACCTCCTCCAGAAACTCTCCAGTCAGCCCTTGGAGATTCACCAGAGCACCGGCCCAGGAGACACTGACTCACTGAGCAGTTACACTTCAGGTTGGGAATTCAGTTTTCTTTCTTCTGTCTTCATGTAGAAGTTTGTTTATTTGTTCTTTTGTGGTTACTTCTTTCAAATTTGTATCCCTGTGTTCTTTTAGCGTTTTCCCATTCATTTGTTTATTCTTTTTCACTAGTTTTTTTATTTGTTCATGTTTGTAGCTTGTTTATTGGTTATTCATTGCTTTGCTAGATCCGTTGTGTGTAAAATGTTTTTATTCATTCCCTCTTGCCATGGTTCTTACCAGATGACAGCTGTGTTTCCTCGACTCCTTCCACGGATCTGTTGACTTCCAGTTACAAAGAAGACTCACCAATTAAGGGTCAATCCAACAAGTAAGGCCAATTTTACTAAAGTTGAGAGTGATGCACTTTTTTTAGGCAGTGAATTACATTTTTCAATAATATTGTGTTGAGAGGTTGACACTCAAATTGCATAAAGAACATTTGAATTGCAACTTTTGTAGATCTTAAACCTATTTAACACTTGTTTAATTACTTTAAAAATAAGGCAAGGCTGACTAGAAACATTTCATTTTAATACAGAGGTTTACTAATGCAGATAAACAGTGAAAACCTAGTCATTGTGAAGTATTCACATACCAGGATGTTTCTCAGCGTAAACACATGTATGATGCCAGATCTCTGATCTTCTTTCCTACTGTAACAGTGGAGTGGCTGTGGCGTACTCCTCCTCCCCAGTGTGTTTGGAAGAAGTTCGGCTCTGTCTGGAGGCGGAGAAACAGGCACTACAGGGGCAGAAGAGCACCAGTCTCACAAATATAAACCAGAAGGGGAACGCAGCAGCCAGCAGGAGACGCTCCCTGCCTGGAACACCCACCCGTGGTAGGAATGGCAGGGTGTGGACCACATTTGGGAAATATTTACTTTGTTGCAACGAGTTAGATAGGAAGATTTATACCTGAACCATGAGCATTAAACAAGGAGGCTATTAGCTTAGCTTAGCTTAGCATAAAGACTGAAGAAGATGTCGACCAAGAAACGTGAAGCCATGAGCTAATTAACATGTTTTTGCTCCTGGTAGCATACATTTTGAACTTTGATTTTGAGAGAGCAAGGCTTGCTTTTTTCAATCTTTCAAATGTTAAAGTTATTTGTTATTCCCCCAAGGGGCAATAAGTCTTATGCAGAAACACAGTAAACGCACATACAAAAACAAACAAACCAAGGAGCTAAAATGTGGGATAAAATCTGTAAATAAATATGTGTGAAACAGAAACATACAGCATTTAAAAGTGGGATTCAGTGGGCTTGGTAGATTTTAAGTGGCAATTAGTTTCACAAATAGAGAACCGCAGTAAAACCCGGAAGTAAACCCTAAAAACCCTAAAACCCGGAAGTAAACTTCTTTCGGTTCCTTCGACAAAAATGCAATAACATTTCTCCATAGGATTTTGGAAAATAGCTCGAAATAAGGTCTGTGGTTGACACACATTTAAGAGACAGATCACGTTTTTTTCAGCCGGATAATCTCCACATGTCTACCCTACTTTTATAATTTTCTAATCATAAATCTAATCGATAGATTTATGATCGATAGATGACTACACATTACAAATCAGAAAACCTCTTGGTAGCCATAAAAGGTATACTCATAATGTCAATTATTATGCAAAATAGGGAAAGTTGAGAATGAATAACACTTTATTCCGTATTGTCCTTTTATTGAGTTATGAATATCTATAGTTAAAGAAATGTCTGTTAAAAATCCAGAAATTGTTAGTTGAACCTATAGGGACATTTTGAATCTTCCTGTTTTCTAGTTTGACCAGGCTTTACAAAGTGTCAAAGTGATATCCCTTATCAACACAGATTTTTAAACCATCCAGTATATAGACCCTTTTCCGTTTAAGTACTCGTATTAATTACATATTGAATAGCAGTAAATAATATATCATAAGTTTAGGACTTTAGGATCTTCCACACAACCCATGTTATTTATATATTTCCTTTTTCTTCTTATGATTTCCTAATCCTACCTCTTATCAAGAAATTACCACAGTTCATTGCTGGCTACTTTAAGGACAAAAGGATTTAAAAGTGTGTGCAAGAGGAGCTCACAAAGTAATTAGGGCATGTGCTGTGTGTGTGTTTGCCCATGTTGTACCATTCATCCAGGCTGGTAAAAACAATGTATGTTAAATATGGGGCAGTTTATTTGTGGAGGAAAGGCAACATAGACATGCTACAGACTCATGTTACACTTGAGATACACTGGAAATGTGACTCTGGCCATGTTTCCTTTACCCTTTTCCAGTATAAAACAAATCATTCACTTCTTCTGTTTGAAGTGGCTGTTGCTACATTCTAAAGACGAAGTGCATTTGCTGCGTTGACAGATGCTCAAATGTATATTTTCCTCCAGGGTCTCCACAGCGACGGAGGCCTTGTGCCTGCAGGCCGTCCTCCGCCGGTCGGCCCCAGGCCGCGGCCCCGGAGGAGGCTGGAGCCGGGCTGCCCTCTCTGGAGACAGAAGTGTGGAGCTGGGGCCGCGGGTCAGAGGGGCAACTGGGCCACGGAGACCAGCTGGCCAGGTGCGGACAAACACTCACATGCACTCTTAGTAATAATAGAAAAACATTTTTTTGACACAAACCATCGTTATCACAGTTTGTCCTGCGGCAGATTTGGATGTTCAATGTTTACTTGCTCCATGTGAAGCCATCATGCAGTTATAGTCTCTTTAACAGTTCCTAATAAAACACAGTCAAATTAATAAGGTTTGATTTCTTTCTCTTCAAATGTCAGTACATTTGATTTTTTAATGGTAAATATACTTTGGCTATACTGCGCTGATTTTAACATCAGAAACAGAATGGATTATTAGTGTACAACACATTTTAAAAAGCAATAATATTTTACATTCTTCTATATTCTATATAGTTCTATATTTGAAGTAAATTTAACGGGCCGAAATTTGAACATTTAAAAAAAAAAAAAAAAATGCAGTATCTGTAGTTGTTTATGAATGTGTACTGCGAGTGAAAAACAAGAGATTGACTGCTGAAAATCTGAAAATGCTTCCAATGTAGACAAGCTATTATACTGTCTGCGAATGTGTGTGTGTGTGTGTGTGTGTGTGTGTGTGTGTGTGTGTGTGTGTGTGTGTGTGTGTGTGTGTGTGTGTGTGTCCAGACTCCAGCCTCTGTGTATCAAGCCTTTGACCGGCGAGGAGGTAATCAAAGTTGCTGCAGGGTCCCACCATTCACTCGCCCTCACCGCCCACTGCCAGGTAAAAGAGACACAGCAGACACACACCCGCTATTGTTTGATTGTATGAGCACTCTATTTGACACCTCTGACACTATTGGTTAATCATCACCACTGCAGGCCCTAACCTAACCTGGATGTAACTTTAGACTGAAATACAGTATAAGCATCATACAAGGCTTAAAGAAGTAAACTGACCTAAATGTCAGCCAAGTTTAAAAAGTCAAACTGTTCCTCATGAACAGAGATGCACAATTGTACTAATACATTGACACCAACTCACTGACCTCCTGTTCTTCAGGTGTACTCTTGGGGCAGCAACATGTGTGGACAACTCGGTCACGTCAACAGTCCTGTCACTGTACCTCAACAGATAAAGGTACGGCAATCTGTCAGTATATAATATAATATATATATTAAATATATTAGCTGAAATAAGAAAGAGAGAGACAGCAAAAGAGATACTGTATGTCTCATGTGCTGCAATTCTTCTGCATGGTATGGAAACTCCCATGACATCAGCGTCTACACTCGCTGAATCCTTTCATTGACAACTAAACACATCCACACTTCCTCAATTGTACATTGTGTAAAGCGTAGTCTTGGGGGCTGCCGGATTAAAAAAAATGTGGGTTTGGTGACTTGAAAAGATTGCAGTTGCTACTTACAGCAGATTGACTCTTTGAAAATGCGGCCATATCTCCGGCTAGGAAGGTCGCATCAACGTGCTCCCGTCTCTAGCACCCCCGCAGCCCGAGCTACGAGTGAAATAACTAAACTTACATGAAACTTCCGTTGGGTTGCTTTAAAGTCAAGCTTCAGTTTAAGATTCACCCTGTAATAGATGTAAAACATGTGATGGAGCATTACTAACCTGACTCAGATGCTTTGTTTCACCAAACCATCTAGGAAAGCTCCATTGGAAGCCATTTGGAAAGGGCAGGCACTTTCAAAAATACTTGGCAGGTGATTGGATCAATCTGTCTATCACCTTCCATCATGGGCCACTTCTGATTGGTTAACAATGGCTGGTACATGTGGAGCACAGCACTTCTGATTGGTGTGGATGACTGACACACAAGAAGAACAAAAAAAAGTAAAGAAAAAGTAAAAAAAAAATGTAAACAAAAATCGCAGGCTTTGCGATTTGATAATTGCATCATTTAAAATCGCAATTTCGATTTAAAATCGATTAATTGTTCAGCCCTAGTGTGGATGCTGTCTTACAACATACAGTGGAGTAATCTGGGTTTTGTTATGGTAACAAATCTACAACAAACCAGCGAATAACCCTAACAGAAGTGTGTGTTTTGTCCCTGGCTGGCTGCTGTAGCTGTCTGATGGTCTTCGGGTTTGGGACTTGTCCGCGGGGCAGAGCCACTCCCTCCTCCTGGCTGATGGAGACTGTGTGCAGCCGGTCCTGTTGTACTGCGGCCAGCAGCAAGAGCAAACGTCAGCCCAGAGTGAGAAGTCACAGCGGGGTCAAAGGTCATGCCAGAGGTCACCCAACAGAGCCGAGAGTTACACAGTCAGACCCAGCCTGCTGCCCTTCTGCATGGAGGTTTGTATTTCCAAAACATAACTGATGTTTTTTCTTCTAATCTTTAACATAGTTCTCAGTTTATGACTAAAACGACAAAAAGTATGCTTCTAAATTGGTATTTGCAGAAATCCTTGATCCCACAGCAGAATCATCATTCCATTTACTTGTATATAGACTATTCTTGCACTATTTCTATTTTATTTGTATTTACTTGCACATCTCAAAATATTCTATTGCACAATTTTTTTCTGTTCTATTTGTTCTATGTCCTATATATGTTGCACTGTTGGAGGAGCCTGTGACCTAAGTTTTTCATTGACATATCTACACTGTAGCTAATGTGCAAATGACAATAAAGCCTTGAAACTTGAGAAACCTACATACAGCACACAAAGACAACAGTCATTCACAGCTGAAATCTGGTGATTGTACATTAAACAAAGGGAGGAAGTCAGGGGAAAGCTGGGAAACTATATCAAAAGCAACGAAGAGAAAGCGCTTGGATGAAAGAAAACTAAAAAATCATGCTTATTCCCTCTGTGTGTGTAGATGGGTTACATCAGCAGCGTGTGCAGCGGGGGTCAGCGCTGTGCGGTGCTGGCAGACCAGAACGTCATGGGATTCATCTCGGCCATCCATGAGCTGGCCTCCAGAGAGAGACACTTCTACTGCTGGCTGAGCAGCGCTAAGAAGCTCCTCCTCACTCCGCTGCGGAGTAAAGGTGAGAAGGAATCTGTACTGGCTCCATCTTTGATGATAAGCGCCAAATGCTGTGCTGTATCATTCTGTATTTGCACCTCGGAACCCTTTACTGCTGGGGCTTTCGTATATGAGAAATGTAATGTTCCTCTTGGATGTACATTAATTGAATTGTGGCAAATGGAAAAAGAACATTGTAAAATACAACGAATAATCTGTGAAATTGTAGACGCATTATTTGAGCATCTACTCAGTGTGGTAATGGTGACTACATCAACCTTTTATGTGTGTATTCCACAGAGAGTGTGTGTCCTTCGTTAGGTGAGCCATGCACGCACCTCTTCTTCTCTCTCTGTGAGAGTTTTGTTCGTCTGAGCGTCCTGATTGGCCGACACTCCACGTCACTAAGCTATTTCCTGCTTGAAGTGCAGAGCTCTGACGTCACTGCCCTTCCCCTGCTGACGCACACTGAGCACTTTATGGACATTTATAAAGAGTAAGGGTCTCCTTTTTGTCTCTCACTATATTTACGAGTACATTTTCATATTTGTTTTATTGCAAATATAAAACGTTCTTGCTTTAGTTGATGTGACTAATTTTTTTACAAATGCTTTAACAGTTAGAAATTACATTCATTAACAACTTATATTAATTGACTCAATGATAAGTCCACTAATGTAACAACAGTCCCCGCATGCTGTAACTGTACTGTAAATGTATTTTCCTGAATTTGAGTATTATGTTCTTTAATCTTGTTTGGACGAATGTGGAATTTAGGTACATTGGTTTCAGACACAAACGAGGAAGGTGCAACACATTTTCCAGAGCAAATGAAATGAAATCTTACTGAGTTTATATTGACAGTAGATGGAACAATATCAGGAATACTGTTGATAAGAGATACAACAGGTACAAATAGTTCACACCAAGGACTTACATTAGTAGTTAATTGTACGTTCTATATTGAATCTAGTATGGGAAATGAAATGGAAACACACATTGACATCTCTCTCTCTCTCTTTCTCTCTCTCTGTGTCTCTCTCCAGGTATTGTTCTTCAGTAGGTAACTTTGAGGTGATGGGTGGATTCCGATCACTCCATAAACTCTCACTGTAAGATCCTTTGTTTTTTTCTTCATGTTTTTACCAAAAAATGCAAATTAATGAGATCTCTTCAAGTGCCACAGCAAATGTGCATTTTTGGTTGAAACACAGCCTTAATGTCAGTTTGAACATATATTATTTAGCTGATGATCACGAGAAGGCTAAATAACCAGACGAACCATACGTTTTAAACAGGAAGTGATCATGTGCAGCCAGAAAGAGTTCCAACACAGCATATTTCAGAAAAGCTCCCATCAACAAAAAGACATGTTGTTAAATGATTAGGATAATTGAGTCGTGTGTTGTCTTTGTTTTGCGTCCAGCGAGTGTTTGGGCTCTCAGCAGACGGTGCTGGCTCAGCTGTGTGCAGACCAGTCCCTCGGTGGTGACGTTGATCTGGTTTCTGTGTTTTACCGGCCGCTGCAGCAGCTGCACCAGTACAGCCAAGTCATGCTCAAACTGGCTGCCTGTTTCGATGTGGTGAGAAAGGAAACCCTCCGCTCTCTGTTCTCCTTTCTGTCTGCTGTTTACTCTTTTATCTTCCTTTTATTATCTCTCTCTTCCCTTTTCTCCAAATGTTTTTCCTTCCTCTAAATTAATAACTGTGAATATATTGATATCAGTTACTTTCATTGTATTGGCTCAAACACCTATTCCTAGATAAAGACTTCATGACGATATTGACATTTGTAATTTATTGTTAATGAGCAGTAAATTAGATACATTTAAAATAAAGAAGTACTTCCTTTTGATCCAATATTATAATAATATATTTTTTACATTGCAGTTGTGACAGAAGTTAGAATTGTTATATTCTGTATTAACATATTTACTACAGTGTAGGTCTGTTAATGGAGCTATACCATTAAGAGCTGGCCATGTGGACTTTTCAACATGTTCTAAGACGATAAAAAGAGTTAAAGTCTCTCTCTTTTTTCGTTTCCTCCCCCAGTTAACTGCAGAGTATCAGTTCCTCCATCAGGGCTGCAATCAGTTTGACTCCCTGTCCTTGTCCCTGTTGAGGAAGAAAAAGGAGGCTGAAACCACCTTCCTCTTCTGGAAGAGCCACTCTGGAAAAACTACAGTGAGCACAACTCTGTGTTAAGTTATTTAAAGCTGATTGATTTGTTTAGGTGTGAAAAGAGTGTTTACATTGCCAAACAAACTATGATACACACAAGATGAAGAAGGTATGCATCTCTGAGGTTTTAAACCAATACCACCACTACTTTCTAAAGTGGTACAGTTGGTCTCCACTCTAAGTTGTAGTTCACATATTGTATTTTTTAACAGATTGTGAGATTTTAATGAGCAAATATCCCTGTGTGTTTGTCATCAGGAGGTCCTGCGCCTCCCTCAGCGCCGCGTGGTGTGTGAGAGCAGCAACAGATCTCTGACTCTGCAGAACGCCGGGCGGTTCTCCAACCACTGGTTCATTCTGTTCAACGACACACTGGTGCACACACAGGTACACACACATGCAAACACAGATGCAAACACAGAACGCCTGTACAAATAATAGCAAAATGATGCTAGATATTTTTCCTTTTGCTTCATGGTGTCATCAGGTGACCATGGTGACCCTTTAAAGCCTTTTAACCGTAGATTTATTTCCATCTACATTCACTTTCCACACATCATAGAAACTCCACATTATATTATGGCAGTTCAGATCTGTTTAGTATATTTCTGTAGTTTTTTTACTTATTAAACTCAAATACACATAACAAATAATAAATGATCGATACTAACTAATTTAAATGTAGATTATATATACACAACAAGTCCTACTCAAGAAAATATAATATACGCCAGTGTTCATACCTCAGTTTTATATTCCTAATCCATCCTTCCTGTTTTACTTAAATCTATTAAGTGTGTCTCAAAAGTTCATTTCCTTTTCAACTATTCCATAAATTAACTTATTTTACTCTTTTATCTGTGTTTTTGTGAAAATTTAAATTCCTTTATTCATATTGACTCGCTCAACTTGTAGGTAAGGCCTGGAAGCACTTTATTTTAAATGTAATACATTCATTGTAGAGTTTGAAAGTCCACCAAATCTTTACATTTGAGAAAATCTGGGATATGACAATGCTTCCACTGGCTCTATCTTCCTGGACATCCACTACTGTGTTCTTCCATTAAACTTTATACTTGACATTGTATCTTTCATTCACTCAGGGTGCCATTCCCTCTCAGAGCCTCGTGAGTATATCTGACAGCAGTTCACCAAACTCTCCTGAGCTTTGTGCTGCAGCAGCATGGGTGGCTGGCCTCAGTTCAGTGCTTACACTCTGACAGGTTCACATGGAATTAGTTAATGAATGATAACACAGGACTAAATGCAATGTTAAAGGGACTGTTTACGCAAAAACACATACATGTTTTCGATTGGATCTTATGTCTTTCAGGCCAAGAGACGTAATAACTCATTATTTCACGTAGGATTATAATATTTTCCCCAATCATCTGTTAAAAAGTATTGTGTTGTCTTGTCCTTTTGGTCACGCCAATCAGTGTACACTAGCTAAATATTGAGCATTGTAGTTTTGCACTCCTTAGCATTGCAGAAATCCTGTGTTAACATTTATTTTTTACACGTTATCCTGATGGCTGATCTAAACTGGGCCGCTACCAAACAGGCTGCTGTGTGTGTGACCGTGTGTGTGACCGTGTGTTTAGACGCAACACTGACGTTAGTCAGCTAGGGGTCTAAAGGTCATTGTTGCAGTAGCTCGTGCTGGGGAAAGGATGCAACTCAGAGCTGAATTCTAGCTTTCACAAGACTCTGATTCAAGAGAACATCAGCTTCAAGGGGCATCTTGGCGGATTAAAACCTATTTACTGTTGACCTTTCCTCTGTGCTTTCCCTCTGCACTGTGTTTGTTTCAGTCTAGAATAGTTTGTCCTTCCTCTCTGTTTGGTGTGGGGTGGTGTGTTAATAGACAGCAGATAGTGGTGAAACCTGTCCTGTTTCTCTCTGTTGTTTTGGCTTCATGTCATGTGTTCTATTATTATAACATTAAGACACACAGACAAACTTAAAATGATTCATGATCTAAATTGTCTTAATTACTGACAACATAAAAACACCTAAACTTCTGCTCTCTGCAGTTCTCCACGCATCACATCTACCCTCTGAGCTGTCTGTGGGTGAAACCAGTTACTGAAGACAGCAGTGGACAGTGAGTTTGTTGCATTTGAAAACCATCAATGTTTAATGTTTTAATACTAGTTGAACATTACATTTTTACATTTGTATGTGTTTTAAAAAAAAATATTTTTCTAGTTATTGTGCTTTTTATCATGTTTTTAATTATTGTTTTATTATTGTACTCCCATTGTGTTATTTAATATTTATTGCCTGTACAGCACTTTGGTCAACTGAAGGTTGTTTTAAATGTGCTATATAAATAAATAAAGATTGAGATTGAGATTAAGATGATGAAAAGGCTACACATCTCACAAAGACATCTCACTGACCCTCATATGTACAGTAATGTTATACTATAACATCAGCCATAGACACAGTGTGGGGTCATCCAGGTCAGAAGGTTAATAAAGCTTGTAAAAGTTGATCTATCTTAAATTAGTTTTCCAAATTATGAAAACATCTTCCATCGGTTAACTGTCTGTGCTCTCAACCCTGATTTATTTGATACAGTTGAAAACTTATTTTTTTGCATTTCCTCACCAGTTATGCCATCAAGATTACATGCCCGGAGGAGAGTTTCACCCTGGTGGCTTCAACCCCACAAGAGAAGGTACATTTATGGGTTAGAAGCGTATCACCCATTTATCTTTTCATTAGAAAATGTTATACAACTTCGCTGCATATTTATAAATAAAAGCTGTATTGCCTGCTTGCTGTATAATGTATTTTCATCATTAAGAAGTACAAATCACTAGTGAAGGTATGTTTTGAAAGTTTCATTGTTACTGTGAAGCAAAAGAGCTTCATATTTCTATTCAATGTTTAACACGATAACAGCTCTCTGTATGTTTGGTGGCCATCACCAGCAAACATCAAATACAACTAGAATAAAACATCTAAAATATGACCTTGAACTGCTTTACCGCTTGAGTGTTTCCATTTTCTCTTTCCATGTTCTGATAAGATAACATGTCTTCCTCTCAGCCGATGGAGACACTCCTGTTATGAAACTCTGATATGTTGTTATCTTCAATTCAGAAACCACTGCTCTTGTTTGGCCTCTTTCTTAAAAGTCTTTCTCTCCGTCTCTCCAGAATAAGTGGCTACGGTCTCTTAACCAGGCGGTGGATCAGGTGCTGGGGGGGGCAGGTCAGGGGTCGTCTCCCTGGGCTGACAGCGATGTCCCGCACGGCGCCCTACACGTTCACTGGAGAGGGACGCCTTAAAGACGGCCAGTACACCGGGGCCTGGCTGGCAGGGCGACTTCATGGCAGGTTAGAGTGCTGCTTTGTTTTTGTGCGCATATCTCATCTCCATCTCTGCAGCCACAGTATGTACAAGGATAATGTGTTTGCATATGGGTGTCTTCCTGAAATGTATGCGCATTGGTTTCTCTCTACTACCATCTCTTGGACATTTGAGTTTTCTTGAATTCACATTTAAGAAAGCATATTGAAAATGTTCCTGCTGGTGAGGTGTGATAAGATGGTTTTAGGATGACAATAGTTCAGCCCCATTTCCTTCCATTTCTTGTTAAATGTTAGATACAAGTTGATTCTAAACTTTTGTAATGATGGTCTTTGGGCAGATAGTTGGATAGTTAAATGTCTTTGCCTTTACAGAGGCACCATGAAGTGGCCAGATGGACGCAACTACAGAGGGAACTTTAAGAAAGGACAGGAGGAAGGGTAAGCACACCAACCTGGTGAAAAAATATAAAAATTGTTAACGTGTAATGTTGTTTTTTTTGTGTTTTTTTTACGGAGGAGATAAATAGTTTAAAAACCTTCAGAAACATAACATAGTGGTGGTAACTACTTTTCTTATTCAGTCCTGTTGGGTTTTAACCATTCAGTATCTCCTTAAACAGTAAAACCAGCTGATGATTTTTGGCAATTTATATCTGTGTGATTAACCAGCAAAAACAAAACTAATTTCTCAATATTTCGCTACATTTGTTCTTTCTATTTCTAGCTATGGAGAGTGTTTAATACCTAACAAAGTACTGAATAAGCCAGACAGCTACCAAGGACAGTGGAGAGATGGCAAGATCCATGGTTTCGGCAAGTACAAGTCAGTACATGTTTTTTTTTAACTTTTTTTTGCGTGTACACAACCACAACACAGGGGTCATGTCTTTATCACTAATATTATTGCTTAAGTACAAAGCCATGTATGGTGTGAAGGCAAGACACTATAAGTGTTAGAGTAAACAAAAAAATCCCCAAATATCATGCCATTTTAAAGAAACGATATAGACTACCTGTGTGTGTATTCATGTATCTGCGGTTCTGTGCAGGTATGCGAGTGGCGAGGTGTACGAGGGCTGTTTCTGTGACGGACAGCGCCACGGTTACGGCATGCTGAGCTCCGGTAAACTGGCCAAGAACTCCTCCAGCGTTTTCATTGGCCAGTGGGTCCATGACGGGAAGTCAGGATACGGAGTCTACGACGACATGACCAGGTCTGATTTACTGTACAAATAATAATAATAATGACAAGTACAAAAAAAAAGGACATTTCAGGAGAGCAGCCAGGGTTTCTTAATTTAACCTAAAAAATGTATTCGTTTTTTTATCTAATAAACTTTAGTTTTAGTTAGTCCAAATTATTTCAGTGGTTTCTTCCACAAATTCCCAGTGCAAATGGGCAGTTTGCTGTCAGTACTGAATGTGCAATGAGTGGATTAAATGTTGTTCATTAAGACACACACCTGTCTCATGTGCTCTTCCCAGAGGTGAGAAATACATGGGACTATGGCTGGACGAGCAGCGCCATGGCAACGCTGTGGTTGTCACTCAGTGCGGTGTGTACTATGAAGGGACCTTCAAAGACAACAAGATGTGTGTAAGTTCACTCTCAAGCAGGGGTATTCAGTAACAATTCAAAGAGATGAAGTCACTCAAATGTATATAGAACAAACACTTGACAGTCTGGCATTTGGTGATGCCTCCCCTAAAATATGTACTTCTTAATTCTGGCATATAGTAAATGGCTGAATGTGAAAATGTTTTACTGTCCGCAACAGATTGAGGAAGCAGCAGCATCAATTCAAAAAGTTAGTCTGCGTGAGTTAGTGTTAGTGATATATGTGCCAAGTCATTTGAAAATGTATTTGATACAATTTTAAACCAATATCCTTAGGTAGTGATGTACAACATTTTTATTTGTATGGGTAATTGATTATTTGTTTACTGTTTTTTATTTCAGGGTCCAGGTCTGTTGGTGTCGGATGACGACACAGCTTTACATGGGGAGTTTTCTGATGACTGGATTGTCAATGGGAAGGTAGAATGTTTGTATATGTAATTTGGCTGTGTGTGTGTCATGATCTCTGGCTCTCCTTGTTTAAACCTACATGAGTAATTGTTTAAAATAGTGACTTGTCCTTTTGTAATTCCAACTTAAAATGTCACAGTTGTTAATGCAAAGTGGATACATGCCACTACCAAGAAGCCTAGTCAAACACACTAAAAAGTCTGACCTATACAACTGAAGGGCGTTAAAGTGATATCACACACATTCATTTCTCACCCTCCCTTCTACAGGGGGTTTTATCCCTGGCTAACGGGGACTGTCTGGAGGGCCAGTTCAGTGGAGAGTGGACCTCCGGGCTGAAGGTGGTGGGAACGTACACCAAACCCCCCCCAGAAGAACCAGAAAACAAAGAGAGGAGCAGCCTGCTGTGAGTATTACTTTGCACTTAAATTAACCTGAAACTTGCTGATCGTTAGGACTGTACCACCTTTATTTCATTTGAATCCTCAATTGAGGATATTGAATAAAGCATCCTATTTAATGATGACACCAACAAGTGTGCAAGCTGTTTTTGGTATATTCATTCCTATGCCTTTTGATATTCCTTGTGTATGAAGGTTTTTCTATTGTAAGATAATAAGATAAGATGTACTTTATTAATCCCAATTTGGGAAAAGAAATGTGTTGCAGCAGCATAAAAGAAAACAAGGCATTGCCCATTATAACAAATGAAAAGAGTAGAAATAAACAATTCTAAAATATAAACATCTCAAAATAGAAATAGAAATAAACCAGCATTAGAGAGTTGGAAAAATATACAGATGACTGTGAAGATAAAACATCTATAAACTAATAAATAAAAACACTATTGAAGGACCCATTTTCTGTTAACACAGTATAAGCAGGATATTATTTATATAAAGTGATGCATGTGACTGGAAACAGGCTATTGGAGTCCAAGACGTTTTGTATATCTCTTCCTCATGTTGTGTTATTTTAAACCTTAAAAATGTGTGTGTGTTCAGCAAAGTGGGTCAGTACGTGGTTCCTGCAGCTCAGAGGTGGCTGTGTGTATTCGATGAGTGCTGGAGTCGGCTGGGCTGTGAGGCTCCGGGGAGAGGAGAGAGGGCCACAGCCTGGGACAACATCGCCGTTACCATAACAACCGCACGACGACAGAGGTACATGCAGCAACACACACACAGGAGCAAATTCAAATAGTTGATACCCTTCTTGGCTATACAGCTGTATATGTGTGAGTGTCTGATTGTTTGTGTGTGTTTGTAGCATAGATCTCACTAGGTCTCAGAGTAAAGTGTTGGAGTGTTTGGAGTTCATTCCCCAGCATGGAGACCCAGTGACCACCGCTAACTACGACAACATACGACGATACCTCAGCAAGGTACAAGTGGCTGGATATGTGACTGTGTTTATAATAATCTTTGCATGTGAAGAAGAAAGCATTTAAAGCAATATAGAACAATAGACAGCCCCGCAATAAATGAGTTAAAACAAACGGTACTTAAGCCCTCTCTTCTTTAATGTGAATAGATAAAGTATAAGAAATTCATCTTAGTAAGAAGTAATACAAGTCAGCAGTAGCACAATCTAGTTGAATTGACATCTCTCGATCAAAAGCCAAACAATTCAACCTTATTGAAGGGAGGATTTATTGCAAGACTGTGGCATCACAATGCATGACTTTAAGCTAGCTGTACTAAACTAATAATCTGGTTAATACAGAAAAGGGGGACTTTCTCATTTATAACTACCTTACTACGGATACTAGTAAGAACTGCGGATGTTTGTTTTAAGTTGTCCTCTCTGCGATTCAATATAATTATTTTAAAGTGAATCCAGTTCGGACATTCTGAGCACATTTTGATGATTATCACGAAATAATTGTGAAGCTCATTTATTTTGTCATCACCGACTAAACCATGGGAAATACAGTTTGTTACCTGTGGACATGTTGTTATAATAATGAATTGTGTGTCAGGCGTGTGAGACCCCCCACCACCCTCTGGGCTGGCTGGTGGAGACCCTGGTGACGGTCTACAGGATGACGTACGTGGGGGTGGGGTCAAACCGACGGCTGCTCCGGCAGGCGGTGCAGGAGCTGCTGGCCTTCCTCACACACTTCTACAGCATCGTCAGGTAGATCACGTCCGGACGCCTCTCACCTCTTTACTGCTCAGACCACAGACTTCTGCAGACCTGCATTCAGTTTACTCTTTAGAACCGTACTGAATATTCCGGAGCTTCTAAGCTTCATCCATAACAATGACTTTGACATCCTAAATTAACATTTGAATGCTGTGTAGCTTCTTTTCTTTTCTTCCTGTCTATTCATTCTGTGCAAACCCAGTTTGTCTACACAGTTGTCTAATACAAATAAACCATCACTTATTTAAGTATCTATAGATTAGGAATCGAGTGATTGCTGGCAAGGATTGTTCCCGACTCAAATCCAAACATTTCCGATGAATTCACAGCGTTGTAAAGTCATGACATGATTTCAAACTGAAGATTGTACCTTAATTAATATTTGTGGGCGAATAGCTTTTATAACACATTTCACTTTTATAAAACACAACAGTTTGCACTCCCCCTGCTGCACACAAAGGGCAGCACGCACCTACAGGAAGTACATGCTGTTGCAGCAATCCAACAGCACCTTATATCACATTTTATGTAACCACAATAACAAAGAAATTAATTTTTTTAAATATGTTTTTGATGCATCATGTTAAATTATAACAGATGCATAAAATTGCATATTAAAATAACAAAAACAGTTTTGAATATAGACGATTGATATTTAATACAGCCCAAATACTTTGCATGGTGTATTTAAAAACACTTCATAACATAAACTGTTGCCTGCAGATTTCTGTTTCCGGGGTTACCAGAAGATGGCGGCATCATCCCAGACCCTCCTGCCTCTGCCTCTGAAGGCAAACACAACTCTAACATAGCAGAGCAAGTGTGAGTGTCAACACAAACACATAAATACAAATACACACAAAGGCAATGATGGATATGTTTAGCCTTGAATATGCTTTTATCACCTGTTCCATCTCAATGCTATTTAACTACATCCGGTTGTATTGCACATGAGACATTAACCTCCCTCCTCCTCCTCCTCCTCCCCCTCCTCCTCAGTGTTATGGTGGTGAGCTGCTCCTCGCTGCTCCTCCCCCAGCTGCTCCCCCGTCTCTACCCCCCCCTCTTCACCCTGTACTGCCTGCAGGAGGAGCAGGAGGAGGCTCTGTACTGGGAGCGCGTCCTCCGACTCAACAAGCAGCCCGACCAATCACTGCTCAGCTTCCTGGGAGTGCAGGAGTGAGTGTGTGCATCCGAAAACTCCCACAGGCATTTGATTCAGTGAAGGGCTATTTGATTTAAAAACCCTTAAAAAGGATGACCTCAAAAACAATATGCTCTTTTGTTTCACTTGTAGGAAGTTCTGGCCAGTGTGGATGTCGATCCTTGGAGATAAAAAGCAGGTTGGATTCTAAATATTATTATTTTTCTTTGTGTACTTTTTTTCATTTTCTGCACTTTCTGCATTTCCTCCACCAACTTTGCTCCTCTCATCTTTCAAAGTGTGCTTTTGATTTGTCCTCTAAAACTGTTTTTCTTTACTTGTACCACAGATTGTATCCAGCAGTAAAGATGCCTGTTTTGTTTCTGCTGTTGAGACTCTCCAACTAATCAGGTAGCTGCCATGTCACCTGACACCATTAAACACTAATATCACTAAATGTGATAGGACAGAGTCATGTGATTAGCAGATAAACAAAATCCCATCCAGGCCCATGGAGTTTCAGTTCGTGTCCAACATCTCAAACTTGTTTTGTTATTAAGGCTCGAGACAGATTTTGTCTTTGCATCATAAAATTGTATGTAATCAGACATTTTTGGATTGGAAAAAACCTGAAAATAATACTTTGATGAGTGGAATTTGTATTAATTTCTTGTGATCACAAGGTGGCAAACTGACTCATGAATCAAGTGTCCCATTTTAATAGTTTTACTAAACACCCCCTCAACTCTTTGGCTTGATGCAACAAACTCTGACATAATACTTCAGTAACAATTGTGATTTGTATAACAGCGCAACTCAGAACCATTAACAACCTGGAAGTTATTATTATGTGTATGAAAAACAATATGTCTCCCTCCACATGCAGCACCACCTTCACTCCGTCAGACAAACTCCTCATCATCCAGAGGACGTTTGAGGAGATGACCCAGGAAGGGAAACCTATGCTGGATGGAAACTTCCTGTGGTGCATGGACGACCTGTTTCCTCTCTTCCTCTATGTGGTGCTCAGGGCGAGGTATACCACACACACACTTACTATTTGTACAGCACTTTGGCTCGACCAAAAATCGTTTATAAATGTGCTATATAAATAAAACTTGATTTGATTTGACACACACACACACACACACACACACACACACACACACACACACACACACACACACACACACACACACACACACACACACACACACACACACACACACACACACACACATTGTTTATTTATTGTATTACGCCTTTCAGTTATCACCTCGTTTCAGTTTTAGAACTAATATAGCCATTTTCTTCTTTAAAAGGGTCAAGGTCCACTTTGAATGAGAGGCTTTGGTTTGATGATTAGAGCGATATGATTGGACGCTGAACATGTTGTCTTTGCAGGATCAGGAGCCTGGGAGCTGAGGTCAGTCTGATAGAAGACCTGATGGATCTCAACGTACAGCACGGAGAGATGGGACTGATGTTCACCACGCTGAAGGTAGGACACACACACACACACACACACACACACACACACACACTCATGGTGGAAACACACCTTGGACTGCAATGTAATTAATTCCTTTAAGAAGGATTTCATTACTATACCTAGGCCAATTTTTGGCAGCAAGTAAGAAAACTGTTATAAAAAGTGTATTAAAATGATATATATAATGGAGATAATTACCTTTTTACTTACAGCTGTAAGTAAGCAGATTTCAGAAATATTGGTCTGTCATATTGGGTTGATAAAAGCACTAAGGTGTTATAGGTGCTTTTTTTAAATATATATACATTTGTAAGGCTTAAATGAACCACTATTTATTTTGCTGATCACACAAATCTTTTTTTTTAAAGTTTTTGCTTACGTATATAAAAGAGTAATGATGAGATAAGTCTGCTGTGAAAACAGAATGATTTTTAAAATACTCTCAAGAATAAAGAAAACACATTTGAAATGTTAAACAATACTTTTTTATATTTTATAGCTAAAATTGTCATTATACCTCTGTCATCTAATCATCACTGAATCTGCTGCAGGCGTGCTACATGCAGATCCAGCAGGAGTCAGCTATTTAAGAGCAAAGACACCGGACAGTCAACAGATAGAACAGCCAGGAGCTTCACACAGGAGCTGTAACAACAGAAGAGGGGGGGGGTGATCCCCGGCACCTCCTTCACTGTGGATCCTTCAGTATGTTTCAGCACGCCAAAGCTCTTTCTTATTCATGAAAGACACATTTTCACAGGAAAGTGACACATCGCCCTCTTCTGCACATGTTAGAAAACTGCACTTTAGTCTTCATAACATTTGGTAAGATGCACAGAAGGTGTAGCAACAGTGCAGTTCTCATTACTCCACAGTGTTTTTCCTTTAAGGGTTATTCATTAGACACACATTGATGTCACAATGTTCTGTGTATGACTCAAAGCAAAGGGAACTGACAGACCACGTCTCTCATGAAGTCTGAAATATTATCAGATTTTAAGGAAAACTTACTGTAAGAGGCTCGTAGCTTAAAATCTAAAAAAAATGATGTAGATATTATTTTAATGACCAAGCACTCCTCAAAGAGAACTTTTGATGTCTGTCTTCCCACATGTTGAATTTAACAGTAAATGCACTGTTGTAAATATCATGATTAAATGAAGCCTACAGCGTATAACTGCCTACAGTAAACTGAATATGGGAACTGCAGTTTGTTAAGCATGGACATCTGAGAGAGAAAAAACAGAACAAAAATGCTTTTAGGCTGCAGCTTTGCAAAAAAAATATATTTCCTTGCCCCTTAGAATCTTTATACCAATCGTAGAATTTGAGTATTGTGATGATTTAATGACTTTTCTCTAAGCAGTGACAGGAGACAGTTAATACTGCCCGCTCAGTCAGTGAGCAGACTGAAAGAAGGGTTTCTCTCTTTAAACAAAACACAACTCAAATTCGATCAAAGTTGGTGGGTTTTAATGTCTGTGTGAACACAGGGCATATGGCTTGGGACACTAATGTTTCAGTTGTGGTTAAATTCATCTAACTCCAAACCATAGTGCCTGAGTCAGAAAACTTAATTCCAATGTAACAGTCGGTTTCTGCAAACGTAAATTAGAGGAACATTTATACATTTGTTCTCTACACTCCATTTCAGTAGCATCCCTTCTCCCTGCCTAAGCTAGTTTTACATATTTATTTGGATTTCCAAACATCACATTATAAAGTCTTTCAGTTTATTTTTATGAATTCCATTTTGAGCACTACAACCCAAACGGCATGCTGCTGCTTCATGTTGAAAGTCACCATGAAGCCGTTTGTCTCAGGTCTGACCGACTACTACACAGTGCCATGTCACTACAGAGGGAAACCATTCTGTACTTTACTAATATAATTAATGAGGGAACACTGATTAGCTAAGCATTAAGAAAATGCTTAATCCTCAGTTTGTAATTCTATGGAGTGTGTGTGCGTGTATGGTGTGTGTGAACGAGCAAACATGAACAAGTCTGACGAGGAACGCCTACAATGTTGCACTGATAGCTTTTTAGTTTATTCCGTAATCTGCTAGGAGAGTGTGTAAAGACACATATTCTTCACGTTGTTACCTTAAAAATATAGATAAAGAAATATTCATTTCTGTAGATTTCAGTGAAATGTGGTGGAAGGTTGACTCTGAAAAACAACCTGATATGCATCTGATATTTCTTAAGGGTTTATTCACATTGCTACATAGGACATTTTAAGCATTGTCACTATTTTCTTATGAACTACTGTACTTACTTAAATTAAAAAGTAATTTAATCTATGCCATGATTGTCTATCACTGTGTGTTTTAATGTAGATAATTAGCTACAGAAAACCATAAGGTACTAAAAAAAAAGGTTTTCTCATTTTGATTTGATATTTATAATCCATCTGTAAGTGTTAGATAAATGATTGTATTTTCAAATCTTATCCAAACATCAAAGCATAGCTTCCAGTACTCTGTATCATTTAATTTAGCTTACTCTGGCTATAAGTTTATTATGGTCATGATCAAAAAGCATATTTGGCTCTCAGATTTGTCACAGCACCAGCATTTGACATGTGTTTTTTAAAGAAGACTGCTTCAAATGACTTTAAAAGCAATGTTACTTCATTAATGTATTCATAGAAAACAATGTAAATTGTGTATTAGAGATATTCAAATCCTAAATTCTATATCAAAGAAATTACAATAGTAAGCGTCGTCATGGAGTCACATTTTGAGTTACCATCTGACAGAAAAATCCCCTCAGAACTATGACGTTAATTTGAAAAGCATAGCAGGGAAGCAGCTGTTGGATTCTTCCAGCGTTACTGAAATATGTTTGTACTGTATTTATTGTTACTCAAGTTTTTGAAGAATTAAGAGATGTATATGTTGGGAAAGTTTTCTTCTTTGTGTTATTAAACCCACTGCAGTGTGATGTACATACATGTGATGTAGCAACTCATGATGGATGAGACAAAACTATTCATCTCTGCAGATGTTTCGCATGTTTTTACTTGCAGTTTTGAGTATGTTGCACTTGAAATGAACTAAAACTAATGACTTACAAAACCTAGTTATGATTTCTGAAAATGTTACTAAGTAATGTAAAGCTCACATAGCTTCTTCTTTTGGGCTCAACATGTAAAACGTTTCATGATGTTTAGTAGAAACCTACATTCCTCAGTGGTTTCACACTATGAGGCTATAACCTGACTGAATGTATGACTTGTGTTTATTCTTTTTCTAACTAATTCTATATTTTTGCAACTTCATACATTTGTAGAAAGAGATGATCAAGGGAATCGATTGCAGTTAATTTGGATGGATGAATGCAAAATGAGAAATAAAAATGTGTTTACTCAGAAAAAGGCAATTAAATTTGGTTTGATTCTGGAAATGTCTCCTGATAAATTATTTACAAAGATCTTTTGAGTGTCTCACAGTGTTGTGTTAGTATTTATAGAATAATCATTGGTGATGGAGATGCTGGGGATTGATCCCAGGACCTTGTACATGCAAAGCACACGCTCTACCACTGAGCTACATTCCCGGTTTTTCCGTGTTTTTTTTAATTATCCAAACAGTTGCTGATGTTAATGACAATGTCCAAAGAACAGCCCCAATTCTTCTGTTGCTGCAGACTTGTCAGCAGCAGTTTAATGCTACAAATCTCCTGTTACACCACATCCTAAAGACACTCTTTTGGTATGAAATGTTGTGTGACTGTGGATTAGTTTGTAAACTGAGACTCAGTTAATTATTAAATAAAAGAGCCATGATGGAGAAGCTGGGGATTGATCCCAGGACCTTGTACATGCAAAGCACACACACTACCACTGAGCTACATCCCCTTTTAATTCAGTATGAAATGTTGTGTGACTGTGGATTAGTTTGTAAACTGAGACTCAGTTAATTATTCAATTAAAGAGCCATGATGGAGAAGCTGGGGATTGATCCCAGGACCTTGTACATGCAAAGCACACACACTACCACTGAGCTACATCCCCTTTTAATTCAGTATGAAATGTTGTGTGACTGTGGATTAGTTTGTAAACTGAGACTCAGTTAATTATTCAATTAAAGAGCCATGATGGAGAAGCTGGGGATTGATCCCAAGACCTTGTACATGCAAAGCACACGCTCTACCACTGAGCTACATCCCCTTTTCATTCGGTATGAAATGTTGTGTGACTGTGGATTAGTTTGTAAACTGAGACTCAGTTAATTATTCAATTAAAGAGCCATGATGGAGAAGCTGGGGATTGATCCCAGGACCTTGTACATGCGAAGCACACTCTCTACCACTGAGCTACATCCCCTTCATGGTGTCCTCATTATCTTCTGTAATTACTATTTTGGATAATGAGGTACAGATGAACAAAGGGCCTGATTTTCAAGAAACTTTAATAAAGGACATTACTTTATGGTTTGAGTATATAAGAAGTCATATGTTTAAATGGTGTTGGAGATGCTGGGGATTGATCCCAGTACTTTGTACATGCTAAGCACACGCTCAGCAAACGCTCTACCACTGAGGTACATCCCCTTCATTGCGTCACATCAATCCTTACATATGTACTTGTTTGTTTATTATTTTACTAATTCTATTACTTGATTATATAAAAAGATAACTTTCAAGAGCTCTTATTATCACACATTTTTTTTACAGATTCCTTGAGTGTCCATTTGTCGAGACCTTAAGATGTTATTGGCAATGATGGAGATGCTGGGGATTGATCCGAGGACCTTGGACATGCAAAGCACACGCTCTACCACTGAGCTACATCCCCTTCATGTTATTATATCAATCGGTAGGTACTTGTTTGTACAGTCTTTAACGATCCGATTGCTTAATTAAACAAAAAAGTACTTTCAAGAGCTCTCGTGATCACAGTTCAAATGAAACTTGGATAGAGGGCTCTCTTCAATGGTTTGAGTAACTCTTTAAATGTAGTACAGAATAACAATTCTGGCTCAATGTTGTTGGAGATGCTGGGGATTGATCCCAGGACCTTGTACATGCAAAGCACACACTCTACCACTGAGATACATCCCCTTTTAATTCGGTATGAAATGTTGTGTGACTGTGGATTAGTTTGTAAACTGAGACTCAGTTAATTATTCAATTAAAGAGCCATGATGGAAAAGCTGGGGATTGATCCCAAGACCTTGTACATGCAAAGCACACGCTCTACCACTGAGCTACATCCCCTTTTCATTCAGTATGAAATGTTGTGTGACTGTGGATTAGTTTGTAAACTGAGACTCAGTTAATTATTCAATTAAAGAGCCATGATGGAGAAGCTGGGGATTGATCCCAGGACCTTGTACATGCGAAGCACACGCTCTACCACTGAGCTACATCCCCTTCATGGTGTCCTCATTATCTTCTGTAATTACTATCTTGGATAATGAGGTACAGATGAACAAAGGGCCTGATTTTCAAGAAACTTTAATAAAGGACATTACTTTATGGTTTGAGTATATAAGAAGTCATCTGTTTAAATGGTGTTGGAGATGCTGGGGATTTATCCCAGTACTTTGTACATGCTAAGCACACGCTCAGCAAACGCTCTACCACTGAGGTACATCCCCTTCATTGCGTCACATCAATCCTTACATATGTACTTGTTTGTTTATTATTTTACTAATTCTATTACTTGATTATATAAAAAGATAACTTTCAAGAGCTCTTATTATCACACATTTGTTTTACAGATTCCTTGAGTGTCCATTTGTCGAGACCTTAAGATGTTATTGGCAATGATGGAGATGCTGGGGATTGATCCCAGGACCTTGTACATGCAAAGCACACGCTCTACCACTGAGCTACATCCCCTTCATGTTATTATATCAATCGGTAGGTACTTGTTTGTACAGTCTTTAACGATCCGATTGCTTATTCAAACAAAAAAGTACTTTCAAGAGCTCTCATGATCACAGTTCAAATGAAACTTGGATAGAGGGCTCTCCTCAATGGTTTGAGTAACTCTTTAAATGTAGTACAGAATACAATTCTGGCTCAATGTTGTTGGAGATGCTGGGGATTGATCCCAGGACCTTGTACATGCAAAGCACACACACTACCACTGAGCTACATCCCCTTTTAATTCAGTATGAAATGTTGTGTGACTGTGGATTAGTTTGTAAACTGAGACTCAGTTAATTATTCAATTAAAGAGCCATGATGCAGAAGCTGGGGATTGATCCCAATACCTTGTACATGCAAAGCACACGCTCTACCACTGAGCTACATCCCCTTTTCATTCGGTATGAAATGTTGTGTGACTGTGGATTAGTTTGTAAACTGAGACTCAGTTAATTATTCAATTAAAGAGCCATGATGGAGAAGCTGGGGATTGATCCCAGGACCTTGTACATGCGAAGCACACGCTCTACCACTGAGCTACATCCCCTTCATGGTGTCCTCATTATCTTCTGTAATTACTATTTTGGATAATGAGGTACAGATGAACAAAGGGCCTGATTTTCAAGAAACTTTAATAAAGGACATTACTTTATGGTTTGAGTATATGAGAAGTCATCTGTTTAAATGGTGTTGGAGATGCTGGGGATTGATCCCAGTACCTTGTACATGCTAAGCACACGCTCAGCGAACTCTCTACCACTGAGGTACATCCCCTTCATTGTGTCACATCAATCCTTACATATGTACTTGTTTGTTTATTATTTTACTAATTCTATTACTTGATTATATAAAAAGATATCTTTCAAGAGCTCTTATTATCACAACAAAAATTAACAGATTCCTTGAGCTGCGATTTGTCGAGACCTTAAGATGTTAATGGCAATGATGGAGATGCTGGGGATTGATCCCAGGACCTTGTACATGCAAAGCACACGCTCTACCACTGAGCTACATCCCCTTCATGTTGTTATATCAATCGGTAGGTACTTGTTTGTACAGTCTTTTAACGATCCGATTGCTTAATTAAACAAAAAAGTACTTTCAAGAGCTCTCATGATCACAGTTCAAATGAAACTTGGATAGAGGGCTCTCTTCAATGGTTTGAGTAACTCTTTAAATGTAGTACAGAATAACAATTCTGGCTCAATGTTGTTGGAGATGCTGGGGATTGATCCCAGGACCTTGTACATGCAAAGCACACACACTACCACTGAGCTACATCCCCTTTTAGTTCGGTATGAAATGTTGTGTGACTATGGATTAGTTTGTAAACTGAGACTCAGTTAATTATTCAATTAAAGAGCCATGATGGAGAAGCTGGGGATTGATCCCAAGACCTTGTACATGCAAAGCACACGCCCTACCACTGAGCTACATCCCCTTTTCATTCGGTATGAAATGTTGTGTGACTGTGGATTAGTTTGTAAACTGAGACTCAGTTAATTATTCAATTAAAGAGCCATGATGGAGATGCTGGGGATTGATCCCAGTACTTTGTACATGCTAAGCACACGCTCAGCAAACGCTCTACCACTGAGGTACATCCCCTTCATTGCGTCACATCAATCCTTACATATGTACTTGTTTGTTTATTATTTTACTAATTCTATTACTTGATTATATAAAAAGATAACTTTCAAGAGCTCTTATTATCACACATTTTTTTTACAGATTCCTTGAGTGTCCATTTGTCGAGACCTTAAGATGTTATTGGCAATGATGGAGATGCTGGGGATTGATCCCAGGACCTTGTACATGCAAAGCACACGCTCTACCACTGAGCTACATCCCCTTCATGTTATTATATCAATCAGTAGGTACTTGTTTGTACAGTCTTTAACGATCCGATTGCTTAATCAAACAAAAAAGTACTTTCAAGAGCTCTCGTGATCACAGTTCAAATGAAACCTGGATAGAGGGCTCTCCTCAATGGTTTGAGTAACTCTTTAAATGTAGTACAGAATACAATTCTGGCTCAATGTTGTTGGAGATGCTGGGGATTGATCCCAGGACCTTGTACATGCAAAGCACACACACTACCACTGAGCTACATCCCCTTTTAATTCAGTATGAAATGTTGTGTGACTGTGGATTAGTTTGTAAACTGAGACTCAGTTAATTATTCAATTAAAGAGCCATGATGGAGAAGCTGGGGATTGATCCCAAGACCTTGTACATGCAAAGCACACGCTCTACCACTGAGCTACATCCCCTTTTCATTTGGTATGAAATGTTGTGTGACTGTGGATTAGTTTGTAAACTGAGACTCAGTTAATTATTCAATTAAAGAGCCATGATGGAGAAGCTGGGGATTGATCCCAGGACCTTGTACATGCGAAGCACACGCTCTACCACTGAGCTACATCCCCTTCATGGTGTCCTCATTATCTTCTGTAATTACTATTTTGGATAATGAGGTACAGATGAACAAAGGGCCTGATTTTCAAGAAACTTTAATAAAGGA